TGATCAGTAGATTATTGCGAGGGAACGCAAAAGTTTTGCGAGGGTTAGGGTTAGGTAGGATTCCTCTTAACTTTATGTATGATTAAGAAAAAGAGGAACTTGAGTGACTAAAGTCACAAAAGTTGTGACAAAAGTGCATATTTGTGGAAACAAATATGCACTTTTGTCACCCTTTTTGTTGATCCCTCACTGTGATATAATAAGATATAATCTCTCTGGGATTCAATTTTTCCTTCTCCTCTAACATTCAACCTAAGACAACTTTCTTGTTCCGTCTCTGCAGTCCCCTGGCTCAGGCTCTTCTTCCCCTCCAGGAGCTGGGTCATCCAGCAAGCTTCTGTCACAGGATGAAAGCTTTCGAGGTTCTCTGTCTCAAAAAGAGGTTGATTCTGTATATAATTATTTTAGTATAATTATTCACTTTTTATTCAGTTGACAAAGTAACAGTAGAAACATTACTCTTGTTTTAACTGTTTTTCTTCACAGTCCAGGAAAAGGCTTACTTCCTTCCCCACATATGTAGAAGGTGAGCATGAGTGATTTCATCTCAGGAGACATGGGACAAGGTTTTAAACAACTGAAATGAAACATATCGATAAGGTGAAAAATTAATGCTGTTTGTAATAATGTGGATAAGTTATTTTTTCAACTCATTTTAAGTTATGGTGTTTTTACACCCGAGTTGTTTAAAACAAACTCTCCCTCTTTGGTCTAGTTCATTTGTGTAGTTGTGAACACAGCAATTTTACTATAGGGTGTACCTGAAGCCATTCAAAGGAGTTAGTGTCTGGTTCCAAATGATCTCTAGAATGATTCATTTTTTGTGCGAATGTCATCCAACCTCGATCCAGAACAGCTGTACACTACAAGCTTAAGCTAAATGCCATCCCACGTTTTGGGATGCGCTGGAATCAACAAATTTATAAACAACAGCCATGTGTTTCTTTGTAAAGTATAAAACCACATGCAACTTTCAAGACATCTTCTCAAAATCATTTGGTATATTATACAGATCATTTTACCAGAAATGGTACTGGGAAACACACAATTGATGTGATTATATCCAAGATTGCAACATAGAATCTATTTCTATATTTACATTTGGTTCTCCCACTCTGTACTCTAATGACCAATAAACAGACTGAGCGTTCTTATGTGATTTTGGTTGGCTTGAAGCTTTCCTGTCAAAAAGGAAAATTTCAAGCCACTAGAAACAATTTCAAGTCAGAAAACTTGATTGACTGTTTCTTGCCAAAATCCCCAGACTGACCGATGGTGTTTCAAGTTAGATCCAAGTTATGCAGCAATGGTGCTTTACAGTTTAGCTGTGATTTGGCATATCAGACAGTGGATCCTTTAGCATCTTTGACATCTGGATCACTGAAGCTCTAATTAAAAACATTTTGCAGATGATGGAAGGTAAATGGATGGTATTCATCCTTTATTTACTGTTTTAAAAAGATTTTGGAGAAAAGTTTTGTTTTCCTTCTTGGGGGACTTAAACAATATTAGGCTGCATAATGGCACAGTGTTTTAATCTTGAGGTTTTTCTGCATGGAGTTTGCATGTTCTCTCCAGGTACTCCAGCTCTTTTGCCTAACTGTTAGGTTAATTGGTCTTAAGAGTGCCCTTAGGTTTGGTGTGCATGGTAACTTTTAAATAACTTTAATCCTTTCGGGGAATTGTAGCACATTGACTAGTGATGTGGTGAGACTAATAAACAGACTGAATCTCTGTCTACAGTGCCTGGCCCCTGTGATCCAGAGGACCTAATTGATGGGATCATCTTTGCAGCTAACTGTCTTGGATCCACACAGATGTTATCAGAGAAGACACCATCGAAGAACATTCGCATGATCCAAGCACAGGAAGCAGTTAACCGCATCAAGGTAAACACTTAAAAGGAATCCCACAGAATGAACATGAATTAGCCTTTAGGTAATGAGAATCACATGTTGACCTAAATGTCTATATGCCTGTGGCTGACAGTTTTGTTGTTCTGTCAGTCAACCCCTCACCCCTAGATTAAGACCTCCAAACAAAATGTTCTAGGGGACTGGGGCTGAGGTGGGGACAAAGGCAGGGGTGAAAGTAAGCTGGTACGGTCCAGTACTGCATTCCGGTAAATATTCTGAGCCGATATGCAGTGCCGGGAGAACGGCTGGAATAAGGCCGTCATTCAGAACGGCTGCACTTCGAGTCAAAGTAGATCTACGATCAATAGACAGTCTAAAACACGAGTTAATATGTCTATAAATATATTTTTTCTCATTC